CCCTCCTCCCATTGGGCTGGCTGGCTGGCTGCAGTGCCAGTATTTCTGGTCACTTGGCTTTTATATATATAGATTTAGATATTGAGCTTTTCCTTGAAAATTGTAAGATCTGACATCACTGGGCTACCCTTTCACCTGACAATTGGCTGGGAATGGGTTGCTAGAGGCTACTTCCTAATGTCCTGCACCAATCTCATCACTTGCTGCCTCTGTGAGTACCTGCCTTGGCAAGCTCTGAGGATTCTAGCCTCTCCTTTTTTTTCATTTGAGGAGCTGAGAGCTTAGAGAGGGAATACATTACAGATGCCATCAACCTTGGGCCGCAGCTTAAGCCATTAGAGGAAGCAGAGGAAAGAGGCCCCCTGGCTTGGACAGGGAAAAGGAGGCATCAGGGAGGGTTTCACTGAGGTGGCAGCATTTAAGCTGGGCCTTCAAGGACTAACCCTGTGGAGAGGTGGGAGAAGAGTATGCCAGGCAGAAAATAGCAGGGGCAAAAGCAAGAAGTAGAACTTTAAGTTTTGCTCCAGGAATGCTGTACAAACCAGGCGGCCAAGATCAGAAAAGTAGGTGTAGAGTTCCAACATGCACAATAGGCCTCGAGGGCCCAGAAGGCTCATCTTTGCAAACTCCTGATAAAGGCGCTTAAACTGAAACGAATTCAGGCAGAAGGAGATGGGGTCAGTCTGCCAGCCAACCGGCACTTCCTCGCCTCATGGAATGCACTGCTCCCAATGCCCACCCTTCCATGAGCCCACATCTTCCTGGCTCGGTCCAGTTCCAGTAAGAGTGGGCGATGGTGAATGCTCTGGTCTGGCTTTGCCTGTGCGACCTGCAGCACTCAACCCCTCTGGACCTCTGGTACCTCATCCAGAAAATGCAAAGAATCCTAGTTGCTTCTCTACCTCTTTTCCAAGGCTGCTGTGAAGGGGTGCAGTGGAGGAGGGTAGGAAGAAGGGAGCCATGAAAGAGCTGTGAAAGCTAGTCCTTGCCCTCACAGCACTTAAGAACCTAGTGAGAGGAAAGATTTTAATCAAATCATTTCTATACTGGGAGGGAACTCTCTCAAAGTTGAAGAGGGACCTGAGTTCAGTGGGGAAGAGAATCATGGAGGGCTTCTAGGAAGAAGTGGCATTTACCCTGCAGCCTGAAAGGTGATTAGGTGTTAATTAGATGAAGGAAGATAAGAGCATTCTAGGCAAAGAAGAGGAGGCAAAGGCCCTGGGGCTGGAGGGAACTTGGCAAGGAGGTTGAGGTGGCTAAAATGTAGGAACCTCATGGGTGAGCAGGAACCAGACTATGGCAGGCCTTAGTGAATACAGTAAAACACTGATCTTTATCCAAAGAACACCAGGAAGCAACAAAAAAAGAGTTTACAGCAAGGAGTGAAACGGATACATTTGTCTTTCTGGATGGTTCCCCTGACTTCGGAGTGAAGAACAGACTGGTGCAGACCAGAGAGGATGCTACTGTAAGCATCCTATTTCTTGGCTAGACAAGGAGGCCCCAGACCTCAGGACCCCACACCTCGTATGACCCCCAAGGTGACCAGACCTCTGCTCACCTGACCAGCCTCAGCTCCCAGCATCCCCCTCAGTCAATATAGGCCTCCTGCCCCACAAAACTACTTATTCTGCCTCAAACTCCCTGGAAAAACCCTGTCCCTTTCAGGACTCAGTTTAGCTCCTTTCAGGAGGGCTTCTTGCATTGCTCCTTCACCCCCACCACAGCCCTTAGCCTACCACATCATGCTATATAACCTTCTATTTCTGAGCCTCTCTCTCTCTGCATGACTGGGGTTCCACCAGGGTGGGGAATGAGGCTGATTCAGGCTGAGGTGTCCAGGGTGCTATATAGGCCCAGGCCCAGGCCCAAAATGTGTTCAACAATAAAAGCTGACTTTATTATTGGGCAGGGTACCTGGGCCTGACCCCAGTGAAGAGGTGGCTGGTCTGACTGGGGAGATGATACTACCACTCCACGCAAACTTCCAAGTCAATCGGCTCCCTTTCTGCTCTTTTCCCTTAGGAAAATCCGTATCTTTTGACTGTAGGGCAAGGGAGTCTAGGGACTAAATCTATTGCTCAGCCATATTTTTACTGGATCCACACGTGAACTTTTAAAGAATCTGAATTAATTTCCATCATTTAAAAACCAGGATATGCGACAGAAAATATATATTCCTGGTTCCTCTTGACAAACAGAATTGACTGGCCACAGAGGTGCACATTCTCCCACAGCAATAGCCACTGCTCCCTTTGGAGAAGGCTGTCGGTGGAGCCCACCACACCCAGGGCTTCACTTAGATGCCCTGGCTTTTCCCAGAGTCCAGTGCCATCCTCCTGTCCTCTGTTGTGCTTCATCCCACAATTATCTCCCCCTGGAGGCCAGGGACTACATCCTCTTCATCCTGTTCCCTCCACTCCTATCACAGGGCCCAGCGCACAGTAGGTGAGTGAATGAACAATGGCCAAGCAGGGCCTTCCTTTTCAAACTCAAGTATTCTATCCTTTCTTCAAACCCTCTAACACCTCATGGGCCTCAGAACCCCACCTCGCCCAACCCGTTCTACAAATGAGCCAACGGAGGCTGCACCTGGTTTGGTGTCTGGCGGAGGCAGCAGCAGCTCTCGGAGCTGGGAGTCTTTAACATCCTCAATCCAGCGCAGGTCCAGGAGCCGCAGGGCTGGCAGTGGGGCTGAGCCCAGGGCAGAGACAGAGAGCCAGGAGCAGCCAGACAGCACCAGTTCCTGCAGGCCTGGGGGAAGTCAGGAAGCTGGTGCTGGGAGGGCTCTGTGCCAGGCTTATCCCAGTCATTCTATCCAACCTCACCACCTTGCCATACCTTGCAGTCGGTTCAGAAGCCACATGAGTTGCTTCTTGGAGACACCTGTCCAGCTGAGGTCCAGGGCTCGGGGCTGGCGACGAACCACACCACTAAGCATGGGGGGAGTGAGTGACTTCCGCCGGCTCAGGTCCATTCGAGGCCACAGACGCTTGTCATAGCACCTGGCAGCCACAAGAGGGTAGACAGCCCTCAGCTCTCAGGGAGCCCACAGCCCTCCCCACACTCAATGACACACCCGTTTTCTCCTGATCCACACGGAAGGTGGGAGGAGGGGGCTGCAGGAAGCTCCAGGACCCAGGCCAAGAGGATTGAGTTTGGGGCTCAAACCCATTACTGAACTAGATGCAAGTTTCGTTAAAAACTATGTTAGTTAAGAAGTTTTCAAACAGTCTTCCTCCTGGGAAACTCCATTCTCCTTGCGCCTCCGGGGCCTAGTTTAGAAAATGAAGATAATGATCCTTACTGGCCTGCCCCTCAGGGCTGCTGCAAGAGCAAATGAGGTCTTTCTGGTTTTCTTACCTTACAGCTTTAAGACACAAACATCCTACATACTGTAGTTGCTGTAACACCAAAGGGAGCTTCGGCACTCCCAGCCCCCACCTGGGACTGCTCACCAAGTTATGTTGTTGGTTGTGGTCACTTCTCCTCTACCAATTTCTGCTCTTGATCCACATCTGGCCCACCCTGATGGCCAGCTGCCTAAGGCTTGACTTACAGCCCTATTTGCTCTTTACTTGACTATTGTGTCCCATGAACTACAATGCAGGCTCCACAAGGGCACATCTGGCCTTTTCCCTTTGGTTTCCCCAGTACCCAGCACGGTGCCACGGGCACGGCAGGTTATCTGTTGTGCATTTGTTGTAAAGAATGGGGCCAAGCTTCCAAGAGCACTGCTCACACACACTGCAGTTACAGCTTTTCATGTATTCACCCGGTCAATGTTTATGGAAGACCTGGCAGGTCCCAGGTATTGAAGCTACAAAGATGAATGAGGTCTGAACAAAGGGAAAGCAGGTTTCCTGATCCCAGCATTTCTGACAGCCTTGACATGCCCTTTGGGAAAAGGCTTCCCAAACTTATTTCATCAGGGAACCCTTCCCCACCAAAGGTTATCTATTAATACTTGGCGGTGCACTAAGAGTTCCTTGAGACTCCTTTTGAAAAGTCTTTTTTTCTTAAATATATTTTTATTGATTTCAGAGAGGAAGGGAGAAAGAGATAGAAACATCAATGAAGAGAATTATTAATCAATTGCCTCCTGCACGGCCCCTAATGGGGATCGAGCCCGCAATCCAGGCATGTGCCCTTGACCAGGATCGAACCTGGGACCCTTTAGTCCGCAGGCCAATGCTCTATCCACTGAGCCAAACCGGCTAGGGCTGAAAACTCTTCTTAATGCAGTTCTGGAGGCATGTCAGGAATTTCCCACTGGGTTAGATGAACTGTGTCAGAAGCAGCAGGGGTGGAGAGGGCCCAGGAAGATGTCTCTCTCCCTGTCCCCCAATTCTGAAGGGCTTTTTCTCCAACCCCAGTCATTTGCTATTCACTTATCTGCAGAACATGAATTTATCTTAAAATTGATCCCCTCTATGCACTTAAAACCAACACTGTTTCACATAAATGTGTTAACCATAGAAATAAATATAATAAACACAGACCAGGGTTATTAAATTCTAGCCAGGTGTCGATGTAGCTTTGGGCCACCACCTAAAGACTTTGTGTTAAACAGGGAGATGAGTATAAGAAAGGTATTAAAGATGCAACAGCACACAATGGAGAGACCTCCTTTTCAAAATTAATAAAAGAATTAAGCCTTTTTGTGCTACTTAAAACTGCCAGGCATACCTCGGAGCCCCTGGGTGACATTTTAGGGAAGGCTGGAGGCCCAGACCTTAAGGCTTCAATCCCAACAACTCCACCTCCCTGCCCTATCACCTCCTACCACTCCTCCCTCTTCTGGCATTCTAGCCTCTCCCGCTCCTGGTTCCATCCACTCAACCACTAACATTTGCAAATCTCTCCAATTCTAAAAAGGAAAAGAACAAAACAAAAACCCCACCCTCAACACAACTTCTGTCCTTAGGTCCTGCCCTTTGTCTCTACTCAGCAAAATCTTACTCCATCCAAAACCTCTCTGCCCACTCTGACCCAATCAAGTCCCAGCTCAACTGCGACCATCGCCTTGAAGCTCCTCCTGGATCTTCCATGGCTAGAAAGGAACCCCTTCCCCCTGGAGGTACACACAGGCTCCCAGTTGTTCTGTATCGTACTCCACAAGAGCCAGGCCAAACCACAGCCTACAGACACACAAGGCTGTCTGGTGCCAACACATTTTGGCACATACGTTGTGCTGGAAATGCCAACCAACCCAGATCCTTAAAGGCTCAGCGCCAGTGCCTCCTCTTCCAGGAAGTCTCCCCTGACTTTTCTTGTCCTGGAGCTAATCGATCCCTTTGCTCTTGCATGACCAGGAAACTGGATTTGAACCTCAGAGCAGCAGCCAACAGTCACTGAGGGCCCTACTGATACTTAGTGTCCAGCCTCCACTGGGCACAAAGCAGTCAGGAAGTGGGGGAGACACAGCCAGTCCACAGAAACTGAAGCAACAAAGAACATGATAAGAGTCAATGAGAAGGCTGAGACAGGGAGCCGCCCAGGGAGACAATGCCTGATGAGATTTGAAGGACAGCAGTCACTACTCCAGTGAGGAGTGGGTAGGAAGCCAGTGTACATTCCAGACGGGGAAGAACTAGTACCCAGGTCCAGGATACAGAGAGAACACAGAGAGCTCCGAGAAGTCAGGCAGCATGAACAAAGGACAATTCATCATCTCCTAATAATAAGAATGATGATGATGATGACGACTATAGCACTAATAACTACTATTTATCAAGGGTTTACTATGTGCCAGGTACTGTTGTATGTATTAAACATTTAACCTCACAATAGCCCTAGCAGGTAAATACTATTATCATCTCCTTTTTCGAGTAAAGAGAAATGAGGCTCAGAGAGGTTAAGAAACTTGTTTAAGGTATCACAGCTACTAAATGGTAGCAGAGCCAGGGTCTGGATCGGGAGCCTGAACTCTGGTGAGTGGGGAAGAGGCAGAGGTTGAGGCTACAGAGGAGGCCTAGGGTAGGGGTGACATGTCAAGAGGGACTAGAATGGCCCTGGCCAGTGTTGCTCCGTTGGTTGGAGTGTTGTCCCATGCACCAAAGGGTCGAGGGTTTGGGCCCCGGTTAGGGTGCATGTGGGAGGCAGCCAATCAATGTGTTCTCTCTCTCTCTCTCTCTCTCTCTCTCTCTCTCTCTCTCTCTCTCCCGGTTAAGGTGCATGTGGGAGGCAGCCAATCAATGTTCTCTCTCTCTCTCTCTCTCTCTCTCTCTCTCTCTCTCTCTCTCTCCTCTTCCTCTATCTTTAAAATCAATTTAAAAAATATCTTTGGGTGAGGATATAAATAAGTAAATAAATAAACAGAATAAAAAACCCATTTTTGCCGAAACCGGTTTGGCTCAGTGGATAGAGCGTCGGCCTGCGGACTGAAAGGTCCCAGGTTCGATTCCGGTCAAGGGCATGTACCTGGGTTGCGGGCACATCCCCAGTGGGAGATGTGCAGGAGGCAGCTGATCGATGTTTCTCTCTCATCGATGTTTCTAACTCTCTCTGTCTCTCTCCCTTCCTCTCTGTAAAAAATCAATAAAATATATTTTAAAAAAAAAAAAAAAAAAAAAAAAAACCCATTTTTTTAAAAAGAAAGACTAGAATGCCAGGCTGAATTGCTGTGGCCACAGAGCTCAGAGGTGAAGGGCATGGGTACTAAATCCCAGCTCTGCCACCTCTGTGCTCTGTGTGACCTTAGACAAGTCACTTGCCCTCTCTGGGCCATTCTCCAAACTATAAAAGGAATTAAATGCAACACTTAATTCAAAGGTTTGCTGCAAAGACAAAGAGAGAGAGTACAGAGGAAGTGTTTACTGCAGCCACTGGGGCACTGTTCGTGTCCAATCGGACTGTGGGAGCTCGTTGTGAGGGCAACAGGGAGCCATGGATGGGTGCTTTCTAAGCTGGGGAATAACACTAAGGCAAAAAGCAGGAAGAACTCCTCAGGGACTAAAGCATGCCATCACCCAGGGGGGTCAGGGCTTGATGTCAAGTTCTCTAAACCATTCACTTTACCCTTAACTCCAGCTACCCCCTAAGTCAGTGATGGCGAACCTATGACATGCGTGTCAGAGGTGACATGCGAACTCATTTTTTTGGTTGATTTTTCTTTGTTAAATGGCATTTAAATATATAAAATAAATATCAAAAATATAAGTCTTTGTTTTACTATGGTTGCAAATATCAAAAAATTTCTATATGTGACACGGCACCAGCGTTAAGTTAGAGTTTTTCAAAATGCTGACACGCCGAGCTCAAAAGGTTCGCCATCACTGCCCTAAGTCATCCCCTACTAAGCCCACCTCAAAAATCCTAAAATGCAGTCCTAAACCTCCCTCTTGCAGAGGCCTTTTGGGGACACAGAGATGGAGCAGCCCAAATGGCCACCTGTAAGGAGCTCAACAGCCTCCTGGTCTCCAGTCAAAGCCAGTTCTTCCCTCTCAGCTCTCGGTTCCCTGATGCTTCCATTGTCCTCCAATCTGTCATCTCTAAGCCTCTACTTCCAACCCCAGCTGGCCTTGACCCTGTGTTCCAGTCCCTTCTTTGCCACTCTCTCTGCCCATGTCCCCCAAAGTCCCACCCCTCTTCCCTGCAACTCAACAACTTCGACACTGCGGCCTGCCTTCTCTCCCCTCCTTTAAAAAATTGATTTGAGAGATCAATTTATTGTTCCACTTATTTATGCATTCATTGGCTGCTTCCTGTATGTGCCCTGGTCAGGGATCGAACCCCAAACCTTGGCATATCAGGACAACTCTAACCAACTGAGCTACCCTGCCAGGGCTTCCCCTCCGTCTTGACAGGTCACTTCGCCTCCCAGTTTCAAGAAAAGATAGAAGTCACCAGAGAGGAAAGCCTGCAACTTCCTGCTCCCCACCTACAAATTTCTCTCACTACCTCTTTCTACACTCCATCCTGATTTTCTCACTGTCTTTCATTCATTCAACAAATATTTTCTTAGTACTGACGGTATGCCAGGTACCATTTTAGAAACCAGGTACAGCAGCAAGCCATCAAGTCCTGGCCTAGAAGCTGATGTCCTTGACCCTATGTGACCTGGCTTCGGTCTCCCCACCCCCCTGTAGCACAGCCAAGGATACCAAGGCCTCCTTGTAGCAAAATGCAACCGCCACTCTGGTCCTTGATCTCCGTTTGCCAACATGCAACACTGTTCGCCACTCACTCCTTCCTCCATCTCCCTCCCTTAGAGCACAGCTCAGCCCTTGATTTCCTCCAAGTCTCTGGCTGCTCTTTCTCTAACTCACAAATACTGACATTCTGTCTTCTGCTTTCTTCCTGGAAGCTGGTATCTATAGATTAAAACTCCCAAACTTGGATCTTTCTCTTGGTAAATCACTTCACCTTCTAGTTCCAAGAGAAGACAGAAGCCACCAGACAGGACAACCTGCAACTGCCTGCTCTCCTGCCTGTTTGTTCACTGCTGTGTCTCTAGTTTCTAAACTTGGACCTTTCTCTTGAGCCTCAGACTTGTACATCCAGCTGTTTCCCTGCTAGCTCCGACTGGGCCACAATCTTTCCAGACCACACATGTCAAATCCGTGTGCTTCCCTTTCCCCTACAACTTGCCTCTCTTCTTTGGTGTTCCCCAGCGTGAGGACCGGCACTGCTGCCCACCCAGGCTTGTGGCCCAGAAACTCACTTGAGTCACCCTGTGGCCCCATAGCCACTTAGTCACCAAATCCAAGCTCTTCTGTTTTTGTTTTTTTTTAAATATATCTTTATTGATTTCAGAGAGGAAGGGAGAGGGGAGAGAGATAGAAATGTCAATGATGAGAGAGAATCACTGATTGGCTGCCTCCTGCCCGTCCCCTACTGGGGATCGAACCTGCAATCCCCTTGGCCGGAATCGAACCTGGGACCCTTCAGTTTGCAGGCCCACGCTCTATCCACTGAGCCAAACCAGCCAGGGCTCTTCTGCTTCTTAAAAAAGTTCTCAACCTGAGTCACTTCTCTCCATTCCCTGCCCCTGCTTCTGCTCACAGGCCTTAGAGAGCCTTCTGAGTGTTCCCATTGTGCCCCATGGGTCCCTGCTCTGTCCTACCCTCCGCCTCTTATGGAAAACCACCATTTTATTGAGTATTTAGTACCCTCCAGGAACGATGCTAAGTACTTTGCAAGAACCATCTCATTTAATCCCTACAAAGTATTAATTTGAACTCCAGATAGTGGATGAGAACACTGAGGCCTGGATAGGTAGAACTGTCCACCCACGGCCATACACCCAGGAAGTGCCGGAGTCACAGCTGATGAAACACGTAAGGACCAAACTCCAGGGCCCAAGCTGGAAACCACTGTGCAGTCTAGCCTCTCTCTACCTCTGGTCACACGTATCTCCTTGAGGCCGAAATCAAGTCCCCTTCAGTTCTGAATCCCATGTACCACGCACAGAGCTGGCCCTGATGAAGAGGCCTCAGCAAACACTTCCCCAACTATCACATGAGGCCGGGGGGTCACCTCCAGCAACTGCTCTCACTATTTGCTTCCATGTTGCGGGCTGACGTGGAGCTATGTTCTGAGGATGTGAAAGTCTGAGCTTTCAGTAATGACTTGTAACTGAGTGAATAGTAATGATTATGGTTAAGGCATCAAGTAGCTTCTTTTTCCCAGGCACTGCCCTCAGCTACAAAAACACTATGAGGTACACAGACAATGCAGTATAGAACCTTACTAATCAACGTCAACACAATAAGTTAAATTTAAAACACCACACCAACAACTCTGAAGTAAATGTTCTGGTCCTCCTGGTTTAACAGATGAAGAAAAGGAGGCCACAAGCAGTTAAGAAATTGGCCCAACGGCAGACAGCTCCGGAGAGGAAGAGTCAGACTGAACCACAGGCACTGACCTCCAGACGCCAGTAGGCATGAACTAGCACCCAGAACCCACAGGAAAAGCATCAGAGTTTGAGTTCAGCCACTAACTTGGACTGTGACTTCAGGAGTCCCTCCTTCCCTCACAGGGCTGCTATCATGAGGAAAATCAGCTAACATTTGCAAAGTGGCCAACAGGATGTCTAATCCACAGTAAGTGCTTGAGAAAGAGCCTGAATTTTCTCATGTAATAAAATATTTCTTGGGCATCTATACTGCCCTTTGTCTCGTGCTGGGAACATGAAGATAAAACAGACACAGTATCTGCGCCACCCCAGAAACTGATTAGAACATGAAAATGAACAAATGAATGAAGGCTCATCCCCTCCATGAGCTGTGAGGGGAACAGCGTGTTCCGAGAGCTTGACTGGGGGGAGGAAGACCAGCGGTTTGGAAGCTGAGGGAGATTTCTGAGTAAACAAGGTTCAGGAAGCAGTGGGGAGAAGGGGGAGGACAGGCAGAGGGAGCTGGTGGTGGCTCTGGGGCATGAAGGCGTTCCTCGGGGTCAGGAGGCCCAAGTATGGCTGCCTGTGACAGGGCAGGGGCCGGCGCAGCCAAGAGCTTTTCTCATGTGTAAATGAAGCAGGTACGATTGTCCTCAGAAGAGGAAGTGTGAAAAGCAAATGAGATGATGCATATACAACAGTCAGCACTATGCTTGGTACACACTAAACACTCAAAAATGATATTGTTAAGAGGAAAGATTCGGGAACCCAGCAGAGAGGGGCTGGGTTCAAATTCCTGGTTCTATTGCTTCCTGTCCACATGATCTTGACCTCAGCTTCATCTGTAAGGGGGAGTAATAGTACTACCTCACAGAGGCCTTATGAGGATTAAATGAGCTCAAAAACAGAAAGCAGCCCATGCACAGTAAATGCAGAAGTATCGTGCTGTCGTGTGCACACACTACAGAAGTAGCAGTGACCAGGGAGGAAGGATAAGGAACAGGTGACAAGTCACCCAGAAAGTGAGGAGGGTGTCAGCAATAGAACCTAGGCCTGTGCAGGCCACTCACCAGCGGCTCCAAGTCCGGCAGACTCGCATGCAAATGCACAGCTCTCGGGGCCCAAGGTGCTGGAAGACACGAAGCCAGGCAGCACGGGGCAGAGGGTGGTCGGATCCAGCAGCCAAAGGCAGTGTGTCGGGCTCAGGACTTCGAGGTGGGGGCCGTACCACATGACGCTCCAGCTGTGGGGGCCGGGGTGGTGGGGCAGGGCCCAAAGGCCAACTGAGGAGGGGCCCCCCACTGCCAGGGCGTACAGCCCGTCGCCCCCCGCGGTTCTCCTTCTCGCCTGAGCTGCCCCTGGCTGGCCGTCGCCCATTTCGGGCCTCGCCAGGGGCCTCATCCTCACTCAGGGATGTGCCTGATGAGTCGGAGTCTGAGTCTGAGTCCGAGGAGGACGAGGAGGTGTCAGGCACCCGCTCTAGCAGCTGGCACATCCGCTTGAAACGCTCTAACTTCTCCCTCTGTGGTGATGGGGATGGCACCGCTGGGCCCTCGGCAGAGGCCAAAGGTGGCTTTGGTTTCTGCAGAAAGATAGGAGACGGCTCTAGGGTCCGACACACACTCTCCCACCCCCCTGCCCTTGAGGAGTCACCAGGGGATGAACAGTCCAAGGGAGAGTCCTGACCCAGCCCTGGCTCTGAGCGATGTGAGGCATTAGCCAAGCCATGCCTGAACTTCACATCCTTATGTCACGTGAAGGCACTGATTCAAAGAATCAAATACCTTATGGGTTCCAGTAGCTCATGAATTTCCACAAGCAGCATGCTATGAAAACATAGTCCAGATTTGAGTATTGGCTTGGCCATCAACTCTGTGTGACCTTGGGAAGCCCCTGTCTCACCATCTACAAGATGGGACGTTGGACTAGACCAGGGGTCCTCAAACTTTTTAAACAGGGGGCCAGTTCACTGTCCCTCAGACCGTTGGAGGGCCGGACTATAGTTTAAAAAAAAACTATGAACAAATTCCTATGCACACTGCACATATCTTATTTTGAAGTAAAAAAACAAAACGGGAACAAATACAATATTTGTATTTGCATGTGGCGTGCGGGCCGTAGTTTGAGGACCCCTGGACTAGACAATTCCAAGTGTCCAGTCAGGGATGTGAGAATAACAAAGATCACCTGGCCCCAGGCAGAGCATTCCACTCGCTGACTCGGCACATCCTCACAGAGCTTGAATGGAGTGGCAACCTGGGTCACTCTTTTTAGACATGAGGCAGATAGGCTCAGAGAGATTAAGCGCCAAAGTGACAAATGGCAGAGGCAGGATTTGAATGCAATCAGGCAGGTTTAGTGTGTCCATGCAAAGTGACATCTGATTCCGAGCTTTGCTGTATGACCTTAGACCAGTCTTTTAACCTCTCTGGACCTCATTTTCCTCGAATCTAGGTAAGTTTTATAATTTACAAAGTCCATTTACTCTCAGTAGATTTAAATAGTGCGATAGGCAGATAAGGAAGGTAGATTTCCCAAATGAGAAAACTGAGGCTCAGAGCAGCTGACAAATTGCCAAGACCACACAGGAGTCAGCAGGCAGAGATTTGGACTCAGTTCTTTCCCCTTTAAGGTTTAGAAAGATGGTGCAAAACGGTCAGATAATACCCTGAGGGTTCTTGGACAGTCAGGGGCTCCTGAGGCCCTGGACCCAACCCACTCTCCCCCTCCACTCTCCCAGGGTGCAGATGCCCATCGTGGCCAAGTGGGGCAGGGGTAGGACAAGGTGAGCAGGAAAGCACAGATCTGTCTCCAGAGTGGAGGGTGGGGCAAGGAAAGATGGGAGAGGGAGGGAGGAGGTCCCCGGCACACCTCCCAGTGTTCGGGAGGGAGCCCAGGGTGGCAGGACGAGAAAGCTTGGCTTGGATTCAGAACCCTGGGGGGCAGAAGGCCTGGGCCGCCTGGGTCCGATCCTCGGAGGAGGCAGGCGTCTCCACCCACCTTCTTCAGGTGCCTCTCACGGCCTCCTTTCACCTACCAGGGAAAAAGGGAGACATAGGGAAAGGAAGAGACCCTTAGCCCCTCATTGTCCACAAACCTAAGATCCATGGCCTCCTCTTGGACTACAATTCCCAGAAGCCCCCACCTCAAGGAGAACTCTGAGCATGCTCACCTTCTAACCAATGTCTTGGCTCAGTGAGTATGCTCTCATCTCTTCTTTCTTCCCCCTCGGGCCCTTTCTAGCCCCTCCTTCTTCCTCTGTAGCAGCTTTGAGTATGCTCTTTCCCTAATCCCTAAAGTACCCAGGGCTCCCAAAGCTTCACTGCCCAGTGCCCGCTGCCCTCTCACCTGTACCTCTTCTCTACACTGAGTGTGCCCCATCCTCCCCCCAGCGCCTCCTGAATTATATCTCCCAACAATCCCTGAGGGAACCCACGGAGGGCCCACCCTCCCCAAAAAGGAACAGGACTACCACTCCCAGATTCCCTTGGGCTGAATGTAGTGAGCATGCTCCCTGGCTCACCTTTTTCTTTGGGGTTGGGGGCTCATTCCCTGACTCCCTCTCCTTTCTTTTGGGGGGCCCAGGCACGTCCTCTGGGGGGGGCCCAGCAGGCAGAGGGCCCTTGCGCCTGGGTGGAGGTGGTGGAAGTGGCGGCTCCTCCGTCAGCTTCCATCCACTCCCCAGGCTGGCACCCTCCTCTCCGTTGTCAGTCCTTCGGCGGCCTGGTCCGTCACCTGAATCCTGAGGAGATGAATGCTGGGGGTGAGATTCTGCACAGCTCCCCAGCCCACTGGGAGCCCAGCACCCAGCCCAGTCCTGCCCCTACCTTGCTGGTCCGGCCTTCCTGGGTACAGCGAGGGCACTCCCAGCAGTTAGGAATTTCCGCATTGATGACACCCTCAGCCTTCCCCATCTGTGGGCAGAGGCAGGGAATGGATAGGCTATCAGTGAAGTCAGAGGCAGTGTTCCCAACCTCCTTGCTCCTTGACAATTTGCCCATCCCCGACTCCAGGTTCCCCGGGGCCATCACCTTCAGGCAGCCAGGGTGGACGATCTCGTTGCAGATTGTACACTCCATGAGGCTCAAACCAAATTTTTCTTCCTCTCCCTCCACTGTGTCCTCCTTCCCAGCCTCCCCACACAAGAGGCACACGGCTGTGTGTGGGAGCACGGGCTGTTGGGGAAGAGGGGGCATCAGGGACCCGAAAGCAAGCAACAGGGGAAAGACCCTTCTTTCTGGGAACCTTGCCGGCTGCTGGAGGAGGTTTAGAACCTAAGGCCAAGCTGGATCAGATCTTGAATTATTTCTTCTTTTTTGGCAGTATGACCTTGAGCAACTGATTTAATCTCATTCCTGTTTCTCCATTTGTAAAATGGGGCTAGGAATTTTTCCTGTGCAGAACTCTTTAAGAATGAGATAATGCAAGATGGCCATTTGTTACATAGTTTGTTCTCACTGTTGTGAATGTTCAGCTAGATCCAGGGCCTGTATGACCCTGGAATTGTTGCTGGCTTTGTGAGGAAGGGAGACCATACGCAAATATGACACTAATACTCAGAGAGGGCTGGAGGGGAGGCGACAGCAGCCTGGGAGGACTCTGAGTGTGTTCAGAGGGCAGCCTAAGCGTTGCTCTGGAGCTCACAATGAACCAGGTTTGGGCAAGGCTCCTAGGAACACTAAAGGCTGGTCTTAAGGAAAAGGGAGCAGCCTTCAGATAACATGACTTTTGGGGGGCAGTGGTAATACTGAGTCATATCATATCAGGGAAAAAGGGTTGTGAAAATAGGCTCAGGGGAAGAAAGCAGGGTAGGGGGAAAGAAGGAAC